TGTCTATCTTCCTCTTCCCCTCCATTAGAATTCTCTTCAATGCTTTGACTTTTCGTAAAGCTAGTCCCAAGTGGAACGAAGAACAGTAGTGATTCAAGGAAAGGAAGGATTGAATCGAAACGGAAATGCTCGAGACGGTGAGGTACCTGATCGGTTCCGTCGGGGACAGCGGTTTCGGCTCCAAATCGACCGGCGAGGAGGTCACCGCCGCGACCCCTGACCTGCGCTCCATCACCGCCATCATCACCGGTAAGTAATCCATCCGATAGGAGCAGCAAAATGAAGAGCGTTATTGTATTTAGCTTTTCTTGCCGTAAGCAGGAGCGACATCGGGGATCGGGACGGAGACGGCGCGGGTGCTGGCGATGCGGGGGGCGAGGCTGGTGCTGCCGACGCGGAGCCTGAAGACGGCGGACGAAGTGAAGGCCCGGATCGTGGCGGAGATCCCCGACGCCGAGGTCATCTTGCTTCCCCTCGACCTCAGTTCCCTCTCCTCCGTCCGATGCTTCGTCTCTCTCTTCCTCGCCCTCCATCTCCCCCTCAACCTACTCATGTACGCCTCCCCTTTCCCATCTCTCAATATATATCTGAGGTCTCAGATGAATGATAAGCGTTAGAAACGAGAAGAGAAGAGGGAATCGTTACCGAAACTAACGGCAAATTTGACAGAAACAACGCCGGCAGGATGGTCTACGAGCACGCCGTCTCCGAGGACGGCGTCGAGATGACCTTCGCCACCAACTACTTAGGTGTTCATCTAACAAACCCTCCCCCCACAACTAATCATCTTCTAATGAGTCGTCACTATTCTTATGTCCTATTTCCGGAACATTCTATTCTTTTAGGTCACTTCTTGCTTACCAAGCTGCTCTTGAATAAGATGGCGGAAACGGCGAGGGAGACGGGCATCCAGGGCCGCATCGTCAACGTCTCCTCCCACGTCCACAGTTGGTTCTCCGGCGACTGCCTCTCTTATCTCGACCGGATAACCCGCAAGCAGATGTAAGCTTCGCTCGACCCTCATCTCCTCCATCGCTATCCTAAGAAATCATGGAGTTTGTTGTCCTCTTTTCGCTTCTGTTTCTTCTCTCTGCAGACCGTACGATGCGACGCAAGCCTACGCACTGTCGAAGCTGGCAAACATCCTCCACACAAAAGAGTTGGCTGAGAGACTCAAGGTGTTCGTCGCCATGACCCATAAACCTCTCGCCATCACATACGTCCTCCGTCGTGGCGCTTATCACTAAAACCATTTTTTATTTCTGTCTCTTCTTATCGTCAGCAAATGGACGCCAATGTGACGGCCAACTGCGTCCACCCGGGGGTGGTCCGCACCCGACTCAACCGCGACCGCGAAGGCTTCGTCACAGGTCCTCGCCCATCCCGAGTCCTTGTCGTTCTATTCTCCCCTTGATCTGATCTTGACGTAAAACCTTGGCCATCAATCGCCAGATCTGGTTTTCTTCCTGGTCACCAAACTGGTCAAAACCATGCCCCAGGTAAAAAGCCCAAATGCTTAAGCAGAGAGGAAAGAGTACCGAGACTAAGTAGCGGTCTGATGCATCGCAGGCGGCCGCGACGGCGTGCTACGTGGCGACACACCCGCGGCTGGTCGGCATCTCGGGGAGGTACTTCGCCGACTGCAACGAGGCCTTGCCGTCGCCGTTAGCTTCCAGGCCGCACGAGGCGGCGCAGCTGTGGCGCGCCTCCGAGTCTATGACGGCTACGGATCTAGACCGGACCGCGTCCGGGCTCGAACCCCAGCTCGCATCGGACCGGCCGGACGACGAGAAGTGACCATGGGAAATTTGTTTTCGTATGTGACTTAACGTAGTAGTGTACACGAGGCATAGATGGGGGAGGACAGACAAAGGAGTAGGATACAAAAGGTGGTACCGCGGACCAGCAGCAACAGTTTAAGAAGGTTTAGAGCGATCAAAGGACGAGCAGGCGACCGTACGTCCGGCGCCGTTTTTGATAGGACAGTCATCTCTTTTGCATTATGGTGCTAATGTCGCATGCATAAATATGCACATGACCGCGGGATAAGTATAAACTACATAAGATTAGTGGTGCGTTGTGACTCGAACAACTTAACTCGGTTGATCTCCATGATGTATGTCTGCAGCATTGGATAGAGATGCATGTTCCTTTAAGGATTAGCTTTTTGTTTTTTGCAGGATGGTCACTACGATCTTTTTCTGTACTTGTCTGATAATTTCTCTTTCTGTTCTACTGTTTTCACAAGAACAACATTTACTACTGTTATGCAGCTAGGAAGAAAGTAATTTATGGACTGGTATAATACGTGAGTAAAATTGTTTATCAAAATTAAATAATTTGTAAAAAGAATGCCTAAAGAGAATAGAAAATTTGGATTCATGTGAAAAGTCTAATGAAGATTATGATAAGATATAAAGAGAAATAAATTTTTGTATATAAACAAATATGGTGTTCATAACATACAACAGAATTAAATGAACCAACATTAAGATATACGTGGAAAACATCTTAAGGGTAGAAATCATGAGGTAAACTAGAGATAATTCATTATAATAATAATGAATATACAAATCTCAATCTTTTACCCAAAACCCTAGCAACAATCACAAGAGAATAACTGGGATACAAGGATCACGTGACTATGTACAATATCTAAATCTTTTATAATTCTTCCCAAATAATTATAACAGTAAGAATTTACTATAGATCTGATCCAACCTGAGATGAAAACACTGTTAAATTGAGAACCGTCTATTTGTGTTGTCTTTGTCTTCTTCCTTTTTTTTCTATTCCTTTTCTGTCTTGCTTTACTTCTTTTCTTTGGAATCTCGTGGCTACAAAAAAACTACTTCGTTGCTGTCTTTTTCTGCCCACCCTCATATAAAATAAATTAAGGTTAGATTAAGAGGATTACGAAAGTAGTCAGAGGAACATTTCATTAAAATTATTAGATGATAAAAAAAAATACATACGTTTAAAATAAGTGGCAAAAAAGTACTATTGCCAATAGAATCCGTCTCCGGAAGCCAGCTTGGTCACTGCTATCTTGTCGGGAAGGGAAAACTTCAGAGGTCACAGAGATCCGACTTGTGGAGTCCAAACCTCACCAAGGTATTGAGATAGAAGCATTCCTGGAGAAGAAACGCTCGCTAGAGCATACGCTTTTGACATGACATGACGTCTAAGCGGATATATAAGAACTAAAGCCGATTACGAAGGACTGATGCCTCTTGTAAGCTTACCTGAAAACCAATAATCTGCTTGCAAGCAGACCCGAGCTTCTATTTGCATATGATCCTCTCGCCATAGATAAAATTTCTGTTCCTGATTTGGTGAAGACTTCTGTGAGGATGGTAGTCATTTTAGAGGCTTACAAAGATGGATATCAATCTCTCATAGGTTTAGCAACGCCGAGGAAATCAAACACTAGGGAGCCTCCTCCTACTCATCGATCCTTGTAATGTCGTGTGGCCGCAATGTCGTTAAGGCAGGCTCAATTCTTTCTGCGCATAGGCTTTCCCAGGTAATGAACTATTTAACAGGCACGAAATAATCCCGTCATTTTCTGCAGATACAGATGCTATTTGATTGGGTCAGTGGAAACACCAACTTTAGCTTCTATATGCTGATTGTTTAGCAGAGAGTTTTGGGTCGACTGCAGCTGTGACATGTATGCATCCTCTTTTCTATATGGAAACACCATTTCTGTTTCCTTTATGAGAATACCTCTTCCTTGGGATCTTCCATCTCAAATCCACAAAGGTGAAAGGTAGTGTCAAAACCTGTTAGCGTTTCCTATATGGATTAGTCGTTCAAAGCTAAGTTGAAGTGTTCATCCTACAAAAAGTAGGGTCATCTTTCTTCCTCTTGTGAAGCCAAAAAATATAATCGTATGTGCTGTAGCTGAGAAATCTTGACTATGATCATACATAAATATATGGCAAAGAATGAATTCCTCCACTCATCATTTCAGCAGGTGGAATAGGGTTCTTATTCAGTCTTTTTATATGGGACAAGAAGGAATGTAAGACTCGGAGAACATAAGAAAAGTATATCTTAATCAATACAATATTCAGAATTGATGACCAACCAACCATATCTTGTGGTAGAATCGAATATGACTTGATAGATCTTGCGCGTAAGCCTCAAGTCAAAAGTCTGGTGCCCGTTGACTGCTGAAGAATACGAATATTTTGTGGCTGTGCATCAGAACAAAAGAGAAGAACAAGATGAGAATATTAAGATAAATATATTATCAAAATATTAAAAAAATAAATTTATGAATAAATAATTTTGCAGCAATTATTAAATACGAGTTGGCTGATGATGAGATCTTTCTCTCTCATTCTTTTTTGTGGAGGATTGTGGCATGTCTTAATTGGATAGTTCTTTGAAGGACACTATCACTCTTAACTTGAAAAAAGAAATGATTATATCAAATTATAAAAATATAACCACATTTATTCTATAGAAAAGAAAAGTATTCATATGGAATCGTAGAAGGTGATGTATCAAGTCAATACCCAGAAAACAAATACTTTTGGCAAAGCATCAATCTTTGTCATTCGTGATGATTATTACGTTGGAAACAATAAGTACATCATCGATGTCGATCCAACCCGAGTCAACTAATCTTGACCTTTACGTTTCCTTTAGATTCCCGCATCCAAAAGTTGCATACATGCGCCGCTTGGCAGGTCGTGGCGGGCGCTGTTGTGCCTTCCGCCGCCTTCCCCACCGCGCACTGGGTTGGACGCACGTGCCCGCTTCGGCGTCCACACGTGCGTTAAGGACGGCCTTCCTACCTCGCGATCACACCGCCCGAGACAGTATGGTCGAATCGCACACGGCAAGCACGCAGCGACGGACGGCGGCGCCCACCCTAATGGAATAGTTATCGGCATTAAATTATCGAGAGAATGATATAACCTCCATCCTCCTCTCTCCCTCTCTCTCTAAGCTACTAACCAAGCCATTAAATTATCATCGAGAGAATGATATAACCTCCATCCTCCTCTCTCCCTCTCTCTCTAAGCTACTAACCAAGCCAACGCCGTTGCCGTAGCTGCCTACCGGGACACTAGCCGGCCGCTTCCTCTTCCGCTCCTTTCAGCTTCGTCTGGATCGCAGGGAAACCCTCCCGAGCCTCGGCCTTCCTGAGATCTGCATGGATGCTGCTCGGTGGCACCAGGTAAATCTAACTGAAGGCTCGGTTGGCTTCTCTCTCGTTTGGCCTTTCGGTTCCTCGATCTCGCGTCGGGTGCTTTGTTTGGGTTCGCGGTTGAACGAAATTGACGTGGATTTGGGAACTCTTTCAGAGATCTCTTCTGTTCCATCGTGTTCCTTTGTCTCTAAGCTTGAAAAGAAGCATATGCCTTTCTTTCTCAACCTTTTCCTCCTCCCTTTCTCTCTCTTTCTTTTTGGTTGTGCAGCAAAAAACCAAGGCACGAACAGCGTCGCTTTGCTTTGTTCTTGTGGGTCTATCAAGTGCGGTGCGTCTAATTTACTCTGCTGTTTTCCGTCTCCTTTTTTTCTTTGTGTTCCTTTAGTCATATTTTTCCTCGTCAGCTTCTCTATGTATCTGCGGTTCAACATGTACAAGTTGTTCGCTAATATGCTCTGCTCTGCATCTGATCTTTCGCCCCTATGGCGATCCGGTGTTGTTGGTCTTCAGGAGATAGGGCTGGCGGTGGAGCCCATGGAACTGGTGCCCTCCTCCGCCTTTACCACCACCACCACCACCGCTAATAGTACTTGCACTACAGCCAGGCCGCAGGTGACGGAGAGAAGGGCCAGGCAGCAGAAGGAGCAGGCCCTCAGCTGCCCCAGGTGCAACTCCACCAACACCAAGTTCTGCTACTACAACAACTACAGCCTCACTCAGCCCAGGTACCTGTGCAAGTCCTGCAAGAGGTACTGGACCGAGGGCGGGTCCCTCAGAAATGTCCCCGTCGGTGGTGGCTCGAGAAAGAACAAGAGATCCACCACTGCGGCATCGGCAATGGCGTCACATTCTGAGAAGCTACCGACTGACCTCATCCCCCCTCCCGTCTCCCTCGCTGCCACTCAGAGGTTCCACCAGGGACAAGACCTCAACCTGGCCTTCCCCGACCCTGAACCCATCGGCTTCTCCAACCCAAGTGATGCTGTTGGTGCTCTCTCTGCGATGGAGTTCCTGAGAACTGGAATGACTGCCAGAGATTTCAAGCCTTACCTGCCATTAATGCAACTGCCGGAATACTCGACTGCGTTTGAATTGCAAGAACTCGGGCCTCCTGCACTTAACTTCCCGATGATGGGTTTCCCTTTTGAAGACGTGAAACCAGGAGCCCATACTACAAGCACAGCCGATGAGTTCGAGAAGAGCAGGGAACAAGGTGGGGATCCTCCTGGTTTTTGGAACAGTATGATAGGCGGGGAAGGCTCATGGTAGGAGAGAGAGAGAGAGAGAGAGAGAGGCAGCAGCGCTCCAAGATCTAAGAGAAACAGGGCAGAATGGATCATCCATTTTCTTGATGCTGACACCAACGCATTACCGAAACATTTCATATCATGCGCCTTCTCTGTTGTTCATATGTCGTAGTAAAAGCTTGATCTGTACTTGTCCGGCGTAATCCACACACGACGCATGGTTGGAGGGGGATGGCTAATTGGGTCCGGAATGGTGGACCTGCAGCATTGAATGCTTTGCCGAAGGTCAGACGCTTCACTGCTCTTAAGCAGATCGGTGTACGACGACGAGGATCACAACACGTGAACTTGTCGGCCTTGTATTTATCTGCACTTTTCTTGGTATTTTGTTCCTTCTTCCCTCTGCTGTGTGTGTCAAAATTCGTGAGATGAACACGAATCTCTAAGATCCGATCATGTGGCAGACGGATGACTTCTACCGGTTCGGAAACAGTGCATTGCCGATCACTCTCTCTCTCTCTCTCTCACACACCCACACACTCGGAAACAGTGCATTGCCGATTTCTCTCTCTCTCTCTCTCTCTCACACACACATATATATATATATAATTGATATGTGGATGGATACGCAAATCAGAGTTCATCCGAAAGCCAATAATCATAGGTATCCCAATTTGGATTAATGTGTCATATACACAAACTCGATCAACTGTTGTCCGCATCTCATAATAATGACAACCCATCCCAAACATTCAAGTATTTGTTTCCCTACTTTGAATGCATGTCAAATCCAAGAAAGGAGGATCTTAACCCGGTTTAAGTGGGACAAATAAACCCGAGCAAGCAAGGAAATCTAACTCGTTGTTGCCTATTGATTTGATACTCATCAGATAATAGGAATAACAAACTCGGTGTTCCAACTTGTGAAAACAAGCACAGGGGTCCAACAGAAGTACACGTTATAAAATATGCAAACATGTCTATGATGACTAATTTTATTGTTGATGAGTTTAAAGAGTAACTAAGTCTCTCGATGAGCTTTTACATAGTAGTAATTGAATCTGGAGTAACGCAAGTAGAAGTGGATGAATTGAGCTTGCACTGGCGGAGCAGCTTGTATCACGGTCGCCATCGGCAGCATCCGCATCTGTTTTTTCGAGGGCATTCTGATTCGCCCGGTTGGTCAGGGGGAAAAGCTTCACCTTCTAACGGCTCCTAGCATGGAAAAGCTTGCTGATTCCTTCAAAATCATGCTCTTGATCTGTTTCAACATCATGTGGAAGAATACAATAGGACTGTTGGTGGAAATGATTCATCAATTAGGAAGCTGCAGAGCTACAAGTGTGACATCAACTCTCAAGCAGCTAAAGATTCTCACATGCAAGCTTGTCAAGATGCAACCATGCACGACTACAAGATGAAACCGTGCGGGGCTGCTTTGGCTTGACACACATCCCTGGTTTCGATACCTCAAGGTCGGAGATGAAACAAGGAGCTGTGCCTACTGCATAGAAGCCAAATATGATTCAGGTCGCAAATCTTTCCTGACTTAAGAAGTAGCTAGAGATCATCTATATAAAAAAGATTGAAATATACAGTATATATGATTATATATTCAAAACTAATTCGTCATAGGCACCTGGTTATGTGAAGAATAATCTTGACAGTGCTTGCAGAAGACCATGCTCTTGTGAAGATCCTTCAAGTCGACGAAAGAGTCCCAGAGTGTTTGCTTGTAGGAGAGACGACCGACAATGTCCTGAAGATCCAAAATGCATTAAAGTCATCTGCTGGTTAATTAACACAAGCAACAAGTCTCATAGAAATAGAAGCAACTGAAGAGAAGTAGCAGCATGACTTGCCAAGTGTCTGTGAAATCGCTAATGGAAATCATGATCATCATTACTGCAGTATCATTCTTAATAGAGGTATCAGTAAGGATTGATGAAATCGTCCATGTCTCCAACACATTAGCAGACATTGCGTGTTGAAGGAAATCCCTATTCACCCACACGTCAACCCCTGAAAGATTCCATGCAAGCGCTCCAAGAGAGATAAGAAATGAAACATATGAGCGTATGCTTGCCTGATAAAGAATAAGAAAACATATAGACGTGACCTTTGTTAATACCCTTGAGGTCTGTTTGGTCCCCAAAAAATGAAAGAAACAAACTATAAGAGAAGAAACTTCTATTCTGATAACAACAATAAGTACAGAAATAATTAACATTGTAAACCAAGACAAAAACACAAACTCGATAATAACAGCAACCATCATAAGTTTGGAAGATCAAGTCCATACTACCATAAACCACAATGCATGAATCAATAACTTGTTATCGGATTTGTAATTCATTTTTCAACACCCATAAACTGGTTCTCCTTTCTCATTTGCAGGTTCTAAAATTCTTCGTTATTTACATTGTGTGTGAATAACAAATTACCTTCACATTAATGTACGGATATAAATTCTGAACTTATCCTGGGTGCTGGTTACGACGCATGCTTGGTTAGTGGTTGAGTTGCAATCTTCATATCCAACACCTTTTCCTACCTTCATCCTGGCCTCAGACACATAGAAAGGTTCGCTAATTTAATATACAAGTCACGTCATTCTTTTCTATTACTTGAAATCTAGTGAAGTTGGTCATGCTAACCTGACTGCAACACAAGCACAACCAGATTTTGCATAGACTTGGGCACAGGATATTTGCAAGATCTGGAAACTCAAATTCACTTAAGATCAGACTTGGGAAGTCTCAGACAACCCACTAAAATGTCTGTATTAGAATTAACCCAAATATTCATAATCCCTCCTCAAGTATCTTATCCACCACTACATGAATTCCCTTCTCCATCTCTCACTTATAGAAGCCAGAAGTCCTTCCCTCTTCTATGGTGGTGATAACTTCATCCATCATCAGCTGTAGCATGTGATGCTTCTTAAGAACCACCATTGTAGTTTAGGTAGTGACGATTGTCTTCTTCATTCATACAAGTCATGTTGCACTCCCAACCATGCTGCCCTTCTCTCTACCCTTAAAACGTCCCTCCCAAAATGGTTTATATAATTGACTAACCTTGAATATCAAACTCAAAATTTTTAGGGTAATGTCAACAATCTAAGTCGACTTTTGGCAAGCCCGTGTTTCATTAATTTCAAAACCCAAATTTGTAACTAACAATTCCAGCCAAATATGATTATTTCAAAGAAACCCAATTCCACAACAGAATCCGGCAGATCTCGTTCAATAATGCAGCTGATCTCAAACTTTACTTCAACCACCCATATCATCCTTTCCCCTTTTCTTTTCCCTCTCCCTCTTTTCCTCTTTTTTTCTTTTAACCACATTTTGTGTTATACTTTTTCTAGTTCCTCAAATCATTGTACAAATTTGTTTAAAATAACCAAAAAATATAGATTTGGAGCACCTCAGACTGTGTCCTCTCTTAAACCACCAAACTACCTAAAAATAGTGTATCCTAATTCTAAAAGAATTCCCAAGTAATCTATTATGACACTAGGACTCAATTCAGGTACACTAGTTGAGTAAAACCTAAAACTACCATGAAGAAACTAAACTGAACCCAGATTCCTGATTTTGTTTTATCCATCTTCTAATTCAAAATGACAATCTATCTGGAACTTTATTAAGGATACATTTCTCCCCAGCAGATAGTACAGTCATAGAATTCCAAATCTTTCTTGCTTTTATCCAACAAAATAAGGACCCGAATCTCGGTCTCCCCACCTTACAAATGCGAAGTCCAAAGATAAAGACGGTACTTGAATTGGTAACAGTCACATTATAACACAAGATGCAATTTACCAATGAAAAGCTTTAAAAAAACCCCATAAGCAATCCGCTTGGCATGGGCTATCTAACACAATCTAGACCTGCAAATATAAGCTTGAAAGACGGCACTTACCACAAATTCTTCATATAGAAAGAACTCTCTACTTCATACAAGAATAATAAAGCATGAAATATGTAACATACAACAACAAAGTAGATCCATCCACATGCCTTACACCTAAGGTCAGTTCACAAGGAAAGCTGTAGCTTATGCCATATATTGTCAAGATAAATGTCATGTATTGATCAAGAGAGTAGTAGTTACTCGTTAGCCAATAAAATGTAATGGATCGCAGAAGGTCTCTCACAATAAAAGAGAAAAATAAGCCATAGCAAATGGAAACTCCAGCAGGGTCTGTCAGGACTCTGATAAAGAAGAGATAATTGATCATTTTTCAGTTGCAGGAGAAAACCATGAAAAAGTAAATAATATTAACAAGGTATGGGGAGTTATTTTTGATCTAAAGAATACAGATTTCAGAGTAAGTACCACATCAGAGGTTAAATGGCATCCGAGTCTTCACAAGATGGACCAATGTCTTCATCTACATAAGAAGCTTCATGATGCTTCTTACTATTAGTTGGTGCCTGAGTAGTAAATTACATCACAAAATCCATAAGAAAACAGTGGAATTCAAAAAGTTCATCAAACCAAATTACAAAATGAAAGTTAACCACAGAAAAAATTCTTTAAAATTAATGCTTATATTAAAAAACTACCAGAAATCTTCTTTCAGTGATATGCATTTTGTTTTCCAACTCTTTGGCAGCTTCATACATGCCTATAGCATTGTATGCCTGAATCATTGTTGCAAATGTGATGGTATCAGGTGTGCAGTTCTTTTCCTTCATATGTGTGAACATTTCTTCCATTATTTTCACCTCTCGAGCTTGTCCATATGCACTAATAACACAGTTGAAAAAAGGTGTGTCCAAAACAACATCAGTGTTTTCTGTTTGCCTGATAATTGAAGGAACCTTCTCCAGAAGATTAGCTTTACTGTATCCGCTAACTAGTGAGCAATAAGTGACAGAATTAGGCTTGACCCCTTGAATTTTCATCAAACGGAAAAAGTATTCCATCTTCTCAATGTTGCCTGCTCTCCCAAAACATTCTATTATTATGTTGAAAGTGACTGCATCGGGAGAAAAGAAGCGTTTTTTCATATAATTCATAACCAACACCATTTTCCCATACATGCCTGCTTTACCATATGACTTGATCAGAATATTAAATGTCTGCAAATCAGGCTCGACACCCATGTGCTGAAACTCATCATACCATCTTTCCATTTCTTCTACTCTACCAACACTACCATAAGCCCAAATAAAAGAATTCATTGTAAATATGTCAGGCAAGCATTTCCCACTCTCAAGCATATTTGACAAATGATCCTCCATTTCTTCAAGCATTCCAACTTTCCCATATCCATCTATAATTGTGTTATGAGTAACAGTGTTGGACTCGATCCCCAGATAAGACATTTCAGCAAGCAGTGAAGGGACCAAATCAAAGCGCCGAAGTTTGCAGCAACAGTTGATAAGAATTGTATAAGTATATGCATCTGGTCTGCAATCGGAAATGGTTTTCATCTCATCCATCGTATGAATTGCCTCATCTAGGAGACCGCTGTGGCCATATGCACCTACCAGTGAAGTGTAAACATCTAAAGTCGGGTTGAGCCCTTCAGAGAGCATAACTCTGAAAAGTGAAGTCGCATGATCTGGCTGTCTACACTTTCCCAGCATAGTCAATAGCTTCGCATAGGTTTGAGGTTTCGGCTGATACCAGTGTTGTCTACGAAGCAATCCAAAGATCTATAGTACATAGAAAACCCACAATTTCATGTATCAGATATACTGAAATGCTATTCCCATACAACAAATCTAACTCGAAAGAAAATATGAAGGAATAGAAAGTTCGCTCAAATCGAACCCCCATTCAGAACTAAAACCAAGATTCTGAGTAAAGGATAATGTAAAGAAAAATAGATGTTAAGAGGCCAAAGGGGAAAAAGAAAGCATTTTCATTGGAGAGAAGAGGGAAAAGAACAGAACTGAGGACCTTGAGAGCCGACTCCCACCGGTTGTTGGATATGGAGTCATCGAGCGCCTCAAGAACGGCTCTAGGCCACAAGCGGGTGGACTTAGCGGACCCGGCCTTGCGCTCGACGCCGAGAACGGCGGCCTCCGTCCTGAGGATCCGAGACAGGTCCCGCTTCGCGTCCTTCTGGAGACCCTTAGAGGCGGCGCTCCTCCTCGCTGCCCTAACGGAGAAGGGAGGCCTGCAGTTCCCTCTCCACCTCTTCGCGGGCGGGATAATAGGAGACAGGTAAAGGTCGAGGCGCCACGAGGAGGAGAGGGAAGCCGAGGGTAGTGGCCGGAGGGCAGCGGAATCGGGCAAACGGAAGTCCATGGCGAGCGGATGAGACGCGTTCGCAACCGCAGCGGAATCATGTGTTTCGGGCGATTTGCCGCCCCCAATAATTCGATGAAAAATAATTATGTAATAATATTTTTGTCATTAAAAAATGTGTAAAATAACATTAATGTGAATAAGAATTTTAATTAACAGAGTAATCGGACGGCCATCGTGCGATCATCGACGACTGTGATATGGGGTTCCGGTCAGGCTAAACCATGCCGCTGAGAGAGCCACGTCGGATCGGAGCCGAAGCCTTCCTTCTTAACTTATATGGATGACACTGATCGTAACTCGATCATCATTACATTCAGACGCTTTACTCTCCTTCCGTGTCTCACAGGAGACTGAAACCGAGAAGCAGAGCGGCGGCGACGACGACGACGGATCCCATGGCCGCGGGGGCCCTGACGACCGCTGCTGGCGCTGTGCTGGGTCCCTGAGCCGACGCGGGGCCGAATACGATCGGGTAGGACTGCGACCCCGTCGGCGCGGTGGCGAAGTCTGCGGCGGGCGGGAAGAACGTGCCGTTGGCAGAGGGGATGGCGATGGCCAGCTTCTGGTTCTTCTCGCAGTGGCCAGCGACGCCGCTGATGAAGTAGTAGTACCCGGGCGCCGACAGGTTGAAGAGGGAGTTGCCATCGCGCAGCGTCATTATGGGATCCTCCAGGCCGCAGCTGTTGAACGCCCGCTCCGTCACCTGGATCACCGAGTCCTGGCTCGGCGGGTACAGGAACACTGGACCCATCACACCACACCGCCGTGCTGCAGCAGATTAAGAAGGAATCGTGGAATATATTACAGCAACAAGAACGCTTACAGAGTGAGTCACCGAGGCTAAAGTGGTGGTTCTTAGACCAGGAGGAGTAGAGGAGGGGGTCGGAGGGAGGGGGCAGACCCCAACAGTCGAGGTCTCCAACTTTGTACTGGTAGCACCAGCAGCCATTCTGCTGTAGAAGCGACAGCAGCAGCACCATTGCCACTACCTGGAACGATGTCCGAAGGCTATCGGGAATTAAGATGGGAAAACGATGCATCCTAACTCCCTCTTTTGGGTTTCGCTGCAGAAGGTTAAAGCAAAGCTTGGGGATGTAGGAAGAAGAGGAAGATGCAGCAGAGAGGAGGGGAGGGGGAATTCTACCTTTTGCTGTTGGATGGGGAGGCAGAAAGAAAGAGATTAGATCGCAATGTGAGGGGGGGATGGTCGACGTACAGGCAAGCAGGGGATTTGGATTCCTTTTTGTGGTACGGCACGTGGGTCACTTGGGAGGAACAGAACACGTTGTCCCCCAGCGATGTCGGTGGAGCTTTCCCATCACCGCACCACGGTTCACGGAGGGCCGTCGATGTCTGCGTTGGACATCTTTAAGATGGGCGCATCAGTATGATAGGCGGTCTCTGTTGACTTCAATTTCGCCCCCCTTCTCCCGAATGCAGATGGGCAATGGGGGAGGGATTTAATGTTGGAGGGCTGCCAATCCTGACATCTGGTAGGAAATTAGATTACCATTTCACATAAGACTAAATTAAAGGAATATGTATTACCTGAAAGACGAATTCCGAGAAAAAAAAAATGTTACCCAGAAGTGTCTTCTTGGTTATATTTATGTTTTTTCATACTCTTCCATATAATTTTAATTTTTGGGGAAGGGATCGATTTGATTGATCGATCGATTTTGATGATAGAGTTAACCAAATAAATTTTTTGATTATAATATTTTGATCAATTTTGATGATAAAATTAATCGATCTGAATTCTTTAATTATAATATTTTTTAATATATTTATAATATTTTTAAAAAATATTTAAATTTATTCATAGAAACATAGAACTCTCCCTATTTAATTTAATTGTTCTTATTCTTAAACCAATAAGGATATATGCTATTTTTATATATAAATTAATTTTTATTAAGTTCTGAGTCAATTTGTCTCGCTTATAATATTTTTGATGGACGTGCTAAAAACATTATAAATAATTTTTGTTAGAGCATGATTCGGGGTTCAAAATCGATATTGGTTCGATAATAAATTTGTTATAAACTTATTATTGGTAGATGAGGGGTTCGATCATATAAAACACTATATTATGTGATGTATCCGATAAAACCTCTTCAATATTTAAATCCATAAATGATTCCAATGATTTAATTAAATATCTAGTTTAAGTGTTCAAAAAATATAAATTCTAGATAATATACCTGAAGTGCCATTTTATAAGTAAAGTCTAGGTTCAATGTATTTAAGGTTGTGGTTAAATACATCGAATAATTATACACTTCTTTCAACCACAAATGTAATTATGTAATGTCGAACCTAGAAAGCTTGCGATAACTATTCATTGAGTCAGCTCTTAAAGAACCTAACTCGGTAAGGTTGAATTGGCTGCCACATAATCCAAAAGGTGATGAGGTGTTGGCCAAATGACATTAACATGTCAACCATATGGTGGTGATGTGTTAGGCATATGGTGGTGAGCTATTAGTAATATCTACATGTCATTATCCTTATATCATTTGCTTCCTATTATGTCTCATTGCGTGAAGCAAGGTCAGGACATGATTTAACTTATGTCAACTATCGATTTAACCACTCAATTGTTAGAATAATGCTTTGAGCCTATTCAGTTGCATTATCATCAGTGCTTCAGGCTGATTCGACCATACTATCATCAAAATAGTGATGATAACATTTGAGTCGATCAAGTTATATTGCCATTGGAATAGCACCTTGAATTATTTCAACCCTATTATTGTTAAGACATACTTCTATACTAATTTGGTATGCATTATTATTGGATATGCTTCCAAACCAATCATCTTATATTGTTGTTAAGAGATACTTCTAGGTTGATTTGACTTGTATTGTTATCAGAAATATTTTTCTAGACTGATTTAGTTGTATGCTTTTTAGATTGATTTAGTTATCATCGTTAAGGGATGCTTTATACTTAAATCCAAGTGCATCATCGTAGAAAGACACTTCTTAATCGATTCAGTTGTATCATTGTAGAGGAACGTTCTTGGTCAATTTGGTTTTATCATTATAGATGAATACTTCATGGTTGAGTTTGGTCATGCCATCACTGAGAGACGCTTTATGACCAGATTGGTTATATCATTAGAGAATGATACTTCATAGCTAGGTTTGATCGTGTTGTCAGCAAGGGAACGCTTTATAATCAAGTTCTATCACATCATTTAAGAAAGATACTTGTTGGTCGATTCAACCATGTCGTTATAGAGGCATGCCTTAGGGTTGAGTTTGGCTATGTTGTTATCGAGGGATGCTTTATGATCGATTTTGGCTACATCATTTTTTTATTATAGAATGGTGCTTCTAGATTGATTCGGTCAAATTATTTAGACAGATGCTTCATAGTCAGGTTTAGTCACGTTATCACTGAAGGAAACTTTATAATCAAGATTGAGCATGTTGCTTCTTAATTGATTCAGTTATGTCATTGTAAAGGGACAATTTAATGGTTGGGTTCGACTATAACACTATAAAAATACATTTCATGATTGAGTTTTGCCACATCATAATTGAGGATTGCATTATGGTCGTGTTCCATTACCTTATTTTAGAAAGATGCTTCTTAGGCGATTCAACTATATCATTATAGAAGGACACTTCTTAGTCAGATTTGATTATATCATCGTCAAATGATATTTTATGATCGGGTTTGTCTGTGTCATTTTAGAATATCATTTTTTAATTGATTTGACTATGTTATTATGGAAGGATGCTTCATTATCAGAGTCGATTATGTCGTAACTGAGGAGCATTTTATAGCCTCCGTCGATCGTATCATTATAAAGGGATATTGCATATTTGGATTTGGTGGTGTTATCATCGTGGGATGCTTTATAACTAAGTTCAATCATACCATTATAGAAGGATATTTTTTTATTGATTTGATCATATTATTTTAGAGGAATGTTTTATGATCGAGTTTGGTTATATTATTACAGAGGAACACTTTTATGATTGTGTTTGATCATGTCATTATACAAGGATACTTTATAGTTAGCTTTGATCGTGTTTACCATTAAAGGATGCTTTATAACTAGATTCCATCAAGTCACTATAGAAGGATATTTCTTGAACAATTTGATTGTGTCATTATCGAGAGAGATGAATTTGATTACATCATTGTTAAGGAACACATTATGACTAGGTTCGATTATGTTATTATAAAAATATGTTTTCTGGTTAATTCAATTATATTATTGTAGAGGGGTGTTTGATGATCGAGTTTAACTATATCATCATTGAGAGATGCTTTATGGCTTAGTTTAGTCTCAATATTGTTGATGGATACTTTAACACCTGGTTCGATCGTGTCATTACAGAATGATGTTTTATAGTCTAGTTTGATCGCATCGTTGTAGAGGGATACTTCATAACTGAGTTTGGTTGCGCCGACATCAAAAGATGCATTATGATTGTGTTTGATTATATTGTTATATAGGTAGCTTCTTAGCCAAATCAGTCGTATTATTATAGAGGGACATTTCGTAGTCGGGTTTAGTTACTTTGCTGTTAAGAGATGCTTAATGGCTAGGTTCAATTACGTCATTATAAAGGAATACTTCATGACTAGGTTTAGTCATGTTATTGTCGAGAGTTACCTTTTTAAGCGGTTTAACCATGTTAATGTTAGGAGTCAACCTCTTTGGGTGATTCAATCGTATTAGTGTTATGAGTCATTTGTTTAGGCAATTCGACTATGTTGGAGTCAGAAATTACCTCTTTAGGCATTTTGACCATGTTGGTATCGTGAGACACTCTTTAGGTAGTTCGACTGTGTTGGTGTTGGGAATTGCTTATTCAAACGATTTGTTTATGTTAGTATCTGGAGCTGGCTCTTAAAAGCAATTCTACCATGTTAGTGTCAAGAGCCACCTTTTTTGGATGGTTCAACTATGTTAGTTTTAGAAATTACCTCTTCAGTCAATTCAGTTGTGTTGATGTTCAAAATCATCTCCTTAGGTAGTTTGATTAGCTGGTGTTGGAAGCCACTGATAAGACCCTAAAGTCTTA